ATTCTGACTAATGACCAAATCAGACCACTAAGCACTCTGCATGTCCCCCACCCTTCCTATCCAGCAGAGTTATCGATCGACATGTGGCCATGAGCCTCCAGAACCATATCAGAGCATTACTGATGTTATGATTCATTTACATTCAATTTCATTAAAACTATGTAGCCCTACCTGCCATCTGCTCATTCTCCAACTGCATGTGTTGACAGTTAGAACCTACATCTACTTATAAATTCTATAGAAGTAAAATAAAAATGTGTTCCTGAAAACACACTTTAATTTGAGTACATCTATCTGAATACACTAAAAACTATCTCCAATTTGTCAAATTTGATCACCTAGTGTATTATAAATAATAGTAATAATAATAGTATTAATACCAACATTGTATATACATAAATCACAATACAATACATATATTCTGTGTGTGTGTGTGTGTGTGTGTGTGTGTGTGTGTGTGTGTGTGTAAACAATATTGTCCAGTACACAATATATGTATTGTACTACTAATCTACAATTTTAATATACAATGGTATTATAATATACAGTACCAAATACTGCAAAAATGATATAATCTGCTTCTAATATCACCCTAATCAGACTAATAATAATAGTATTAGTATAATAGTAATAATAATAGGAAAGGTAGTAGTAATAAACAATATTGTCCAGCATATACATAATATATGTTTTGTATTTCTAATCTACAATTATAAAATACAATGGCATTATAATATACAGTAGCAAACATTGCAAAAAAATATATCATATGCTTCTAATATCACCCTAATCAGACTAATAACAGTGATAATAATAATAATAATTTATAATGTAATTATTTCTGATTATTCTGACTATTTCTGATCATATAAAATCATAGTCCAGTATTGATGCTTATAGGTTACCAATATGTTGTGCTTCTTATAATGACATTCACACCCTTATAATAATAAATAAATAAGTGCAAGTAATTAACATTCATGCTAAACTGACCGTTCAAACTGAGCTCCACAACTCTTCAAAAAGTTACAAGTTACTTCATCCGTCCTATAAGACCTAATCTCAGACCAGAGACCAGAGTAAAAACATGCTGCTAAAGCAAAGTGTCTTAACTCCTGGTAAAAGCACAGTATTGAAGACATCAAGGCCACAGACACAGCAAAGTGAACAGCAGCAGCACAGCGCTCTTACAGTGTATCAGCCGATGATAAAGGAGGAGCATGCAGCTGTTTGAGGGAGATAAAGCAGGCTGAATACTGTACCTGAGCAGACAGTCCTGCATCGTCCGGCCTGATACTACACGACTCGTGCCAATGCCAGCGGAGGAGAGAGACTGCAGCTGGGATGAGAAGAGGGATGGAGGGGGAGGGACAGAGAGATAGGACACAGGATACAGTGACTTTCAAGGAAGGAGATTAAATAGCAATAGAACAGAACAGACTGTAACTCAGAGAGATACAAGCATAGAGACTAGGCACATGATGCTCATTTTATCCGGATTTACACAATTCAGAAATACATTAACAATGCAATTCACAGAGACAATGATTTGAATGTGTGCCATTTCAGTTTCTGTCTCATGTTTTCAATTTCTTTACGTTTTTTGGCATTCGTATATTAAATATTTTATTTAAAAAAAAATTTAATAATTCAGGAAACTTTGGCATTACTTTTTACTTTATGCTTACATCGAATTTTTTGTGTCATTCAAAGAAAATTAAAGTCGAAATTATTAAAGCAAAAAAATTTTATTAAAAAAAGTACTTTATAACAAATAGAGTTAAAAACATGACATACCATGTCATAATTATGAAATTAGAAAGTCTAAATTACGAGTCATAAATTCGAAACTAACAAAAAATAAAGACGTAAGTGTCATCAGTTAAAGATTTTTATCTCAGAATTTTGGCTTTTTATCTGATAATTGTAACTATTTATGTCAATTATAATTGACCTTTTTTTCTTATTGTGACAGAAATTAGTTTCCATATTTTTGCATTCTGATACAGCCTTATTTGTTACAGATTTTTCTTTGATACTACACTTGTAAACTGCTGTAGACTGAAAAAAAAAATAGAAATCCATTGCAGTCTGTAGATACTGATCCTAGAGTTCATGTAGTGACGCTTAATTGCCAGTAGAGCTCAGCATTATTCTCTCCACACACAAATTGTTGCCTTGTGAAAAGATTTGGCTGTTACTTTAGTTAGATGTTAGATTACATCACACATAAGCACAGGGTTTCTACTATGTAACTGGAAATGTACAAATATGTATAGCATAGATTGCACACGTTTCTTGAGTTTCTTGAAGTCTCTGTGATTTAAAGGTGAGCTAATTCTACGTACAGTATGTCATGTTGCAATTACCGAAATGGCAGGGATTGAGTTACAGGAATAAATCTAGCATCTTAGAATGCACAAATCAGTATGTCAAATGAATAGGATGTCAGAATGCTCAGTATTTATGATACAGTAGGTGACAGATGACCTGCATGCACTGATGCTCAAAAGTACAGGAATTCAAACTCATGTGTCATTTCAACACGGCGACCATAATGACACTTCACACAGAATGAAAAAATGAAACTGCATGAATGACAAAACTATATTTTTTTTTATTGAGGAGGAAACCGGTTTTAAATATATCTCTCCCTCCCTTTCCCCTTTTTTATTCAACAAGGAATGGAATTGGTCAAAAGTTACATTTATGATGCTACAAAATATTTCTATTTTAAATAAATGCTGTTCTGTATATATATATATATATATATATATATATATATATATACAGTATATATATATATAATGAATCAAAGAATGCTTAATATATTAAATATTAAGCATTTTTGAAGGCTCATATGACACTGAAGACTGGCGTAATGATGCTGAAAATTCAGCTTTACATCACAGGAATAAATTACATTTTAAAACATATTCAAATAGAAAGCAGTTAAAATTATATAAATATATATAGTTTAAATTATATAATATTATTTCACAATGTTACTATTTTTACTGTATTTTTGATCAAATAAATGCAGCCTTTTTGAGCTTAAGAGACTTTCAAAAATGTTATACAATTGTAGCACCCTTGAACATTTTTGAACAGTAGCTTATATACACTAGTTTTATATTCTGTTTACCTTAGATGAAACAAGTGCCCGTTTTTTTCTGTGTGTATTTATATTCTTTTTCATATAAAATTACTTTTTGTCAGTAAGTAGCATATAGTTGCTAATAAACACAATTTTTACCTGGATAATAAGAGTCTTTTGACACGTAGAGATTTTCCCTCTTAGTCCCACATTACCACCCCATTAACCTCTGACCCTGTGCTGCCGAGAGCAGAGGTTCAGTGGAGGGCAGAGCGAGGGAGATGAGAGAAGGAAGAGGAGGCCTCTCGGGCAGAATGTGCCCCTGGCCTCAGAAAGAGAAAGTGGGAGTGTGGCCCGTGACCTCGCGCACACACACATGGTCTGCATTTGGATGTCTGCGGGTGGCACGGAGCTAGCGCTAATCTGAAACAGCCTCCGCTATAAACAGGATGTCGGAGAGTGGATGAGAGAGAGAAAAAGCGGAAAGAAGGTGAGCAAGGGGAAGAGCTTGTCTTGATAAAGGTGTTGGTTTGGTCTGAACTCTCACAAAATTTGTATTTACTTAAACTTACTTATTTACATACGTATTTACTTCAACTTTATTTATATCTCACAATTGCAACTATTTCTGACAATTGCATATTTTTTTCTTTTTCATTTTTGTAATTGCAATTCATTTTGGAATTATTTCTCATAATTGTGACTTTATAATTCAAAGTGTGAATATGCTGTATCTCACAATTCTGATTTTTTCTCAAAATTACAAATGTTATGCCACAATTTTTATGTAGCTATGTCTTACAATTGCTAAACCTTTTTTGTAATTGTGATTTTATATCAGTTACAACTTTGTAATTATTGCATCTGTTTTTCATGTTGTGACATTATCTCACAATGTTACTTTATACAATTGGGACTATTTAATTGCAACTTTGTGTTTTTTGTAAGTGCAAAATTAATTTCTCATTATTGTAAATATATCTCACAATTGCAACTTAATTTCAGTCAATTGCAATTAAAAAAATTGCGGCCTTATTTATGTTTATATCTTACACTGTGAATATATCTTATAATATTCACTTTTTCTCACAAACACAAATATCCCATGTGACTATTTCTCACAATTGTGAATAATTCTCTCTCATAATTGTTATTATATTGCGCAATTACAATTAAATTTTTCATTGTTGCAATTATTTCTCACAAACTGTATTTTTTGCAACGTTTTTCTCACAATTGCAACTTAATTTCTCCAAATTGCAATTAGCATAATAACTTTAATATGCATTATACAGAGGCAAGATGAAAAGAAAAAATACCATCTAAACGTTTCTAAAGACAGTAAGTTCCCCTCAGACATAAGTTCATAAACTTCTACCCCTAATTGAATCACGATTTTGTAATTGCAATTCATTTTGGAATTATTTCTCATAATTGTGACTTTATAATTCAAAGTGTGAATATGCTGTATCTCACAATTCTGAATTTTTCTCAAAATTACAAATGTTATGCCACAATTTTTATGTAGCTATGTCTTACAATTGCTAAACCTTTTTTGTAATTGTGATTTTATATCAGTTACAACTTTGTAATTATTGCATCTGTTTTTCATGTTGTGACATTATCTCACAATGTGACTTTATACAATTGGGACTATTTCATTGCAACTTTGTGTTTTTTGTAAGTGCAAAATTTATTTCTCATTATTGTAAATATATCTCACAATTGCAACTTAATTTCAGTAAATTGCAATTAAAAAAATTGCGGCCTTATTTATGTTTATATATTACACTGTGAATATATCTTATAATATTCACTTTTTCTCACAAACACAAATATCCCATGTGACTATTTCTCACAATTGTGAATAATTCTCTCTCATAATTGTTATTATATTGCGCAATTACAATTTTTCGTTGTTGCAATTATTTCTCACAAACTGTATTTTTTGCAACGTTTTTCTGTGGAGTTGTGTAGGGGCGCAACAAGGTTTTGGAACCGTTTCAGGGTTGATGAAGTGAACCTGAGAAAAAAATACAAAGGTCAAAGTTGAAGGTCTAAAGAAAAGTACTTTAATTACAGTAGATTTTAGTTTTATGAATGCCAATATTACATGGTTTAAGTCAACTTGTAAGAATGACAATCTGCTTGTCAGTGCTTGATTCAAATCAGAATGTAAAAATTTGTCATAACTTGTGTGCCTTTCTTATTTAAAATATCTTATAAATATCTTTATTCTTATGAAAAAAATATCTCAGAGCGAATGTCATGGCGGACACCCAAATTCACTATAATTTAAAAAATAATACTTTATAGTTTAAGAGTTTTTTAGGTGAGAATCTACTTGTTTGGACTTTAAATATGCAGTTTGCTAATAAAGATAATGTCGATTAAAAAATTGGCTTCGTCGTTTTCAGAGACGTAAGCGCTAGGGCGTCAGCGGTCATTCAGTGCTCATAAACCCGTGGAGAGAGCGCCTCACCTCGGCCAGATCTTCTGGAATCTGCCGCTGGCTCTGATGTCTCTATAGTAGTTAAACATGAGATATATTTAATTTGGGGTAAATCTAACAGGCAGTCTTTGGTCTCATTAATCTATTATTTGTTCCAGAGCAAATAGTTTTGGCAAAATCTCATCGTGTTGTAACTTCAATGCTGTATATCAGAGCGCTGCCTTTGTATTTTTGACTGAATTGCCTAGCAACATTTATAATGGCTGTTGTTGTTTATTAAATATTATTGTCACGGTTGCACTACTGAGTGGAGGGCGGAGCAAGGAACGGATGGAGACGAGAAGTACATCAATCCAGAGAATTTTAATTATAACAATGAACAAGGAAAACTCACGTAGCACATGTAGACATAAACAATACCGGACGCTGAACTAAAAACAGGGAACACTATTTAAACACATGACAAGTTGAGCGGATGACGAGACACACCTGGGGTCAATGGAAATAAAAAAATTTAGGCAGGCGGTAGGAGCCGTTGGAGAGATATGTGGAGGTTCTCGGCGTGGGGTGAGCTGGGGAGACGTGGCGCTTTTCAGCGGGAGTTGGATGACGAGGCTTGGGAAGTTTCTTTACTTCTTCAACTTCGAAATCTGAACTATGTCTGAATCTTGAACCAACAGCACGAGATTAATCAGCTCAATCAGGATTATCTCGTCATTCAACCCTAGCAGGAAGCGCGCACTACTGAGTGGAGTGCGGAGCAAGGAACAGAGGGAGACGAGGAGTACATCAATCCAGAGAATTTTAATTATAACAAGGAAAACTCACTTAGCACATGTAGACATAAACAATACCGGACTCTGAAGTAAAAACAGGGAACACTATTTAAACACATAACAAGACGCGGGGATGACGAGAATAAATGGAGGAACACCTGGAATTAAATCAACATAATCAGGACAGGAACAGGAAACTAACCAAATATGGGCATAAACACTGGGTCACAGGGAGCACATGGGGAATACAACACAACACAAGCCTGACAATTATCATTCAATGAATAATATTTTATATACACAATTGTTGTATTTAGCATTGGTAAACGGTGTGTGTGTGTGTGTGTTGGTGATGGTGATTTTAGTTACATTGTTCCGCCTTTAGATGGCAACAAGAGACTGTTTTACGAGTCAGCAGAAAAGACTTTTAAATTGCTTCAAAAAGCTTGTACACAGCCTACAAACGCACTGAGCAGTGCTGTCATCAGAAATAACCCTTGAGCCTATTAGACATTCATACTAATTGTGAATATGAGATTGATCTGAAGAATGAATGCTGTATCAAATGCAGGTAATTACAATTTCTCAGTCAATCTCTCTCTCATAATACTCTACTGTACATAATACACCGCTTTTAATACAGTAATGCAATATGCTTTTAATGAAGAAACTCAACGTTCCTTCGTTACTAGTTATAAAGTGATGTTTTGAAATTAGTAACGGAGGCTTGGGTTTAGCTGTTAAACTATCAACTTTAGATTTGAATCCATGGCATAAGGAAGTAGTTCACAAATAAGAGGGCCTTTAAAGACACCCCGTTGTAAATTTTTTATGTATTCACACACTCGTGCCGTCAAGCTGTATATCGGCACACTGTGATTACCTACGGCCCAATCACAGCCGTGCCGATATTCAGCCATATCTCACATCTACTCGTGTGATATTGCTCATATGCACACACACAGTAGCTATATACAGTAACTGTATACACTACCATTCAATCTAATGCTCACAAAGCCTGCTTTAATTTTGATCAAAAATACACTAAATTATTCCTATTAAACTGTGAAGCAAAGCTGAATTTTCAGCATCATTACACCAGTATAACCTGTAATATTTCCTTCAGAAATCTAATTCTAATATGTTGATATGCTCAAGAAACATTAATCAATTTGAAATTAAAATCTTTTATAACATTATGAATGCCTTTACTGACACTTTTGATTAATGCACGTTGCTGAATAAAAGTATAAGATAAAATAATAAAATAAAATAATGCAAGATACAGCTTTAGAAATATTTGTGATTGGCAGCTGTGGTAAAAAAGTACAAGACTTACCAAAGTCTGTACAATGGCGTGGTTTGTGGCGTTCATGTAGGAATTGAGAGGAAAGGCACATTCTCCCATACAGTAATATGCAGCGTATCCTTCAGGAGCTATAATCCAATCCTGAAAGATGGACAGAGCACAAATCTGTTAGCATGACAACCACCTTCAGTCATAAAGCTTGAGCTAGATCTTTCCCAAACAGATGGTCTTCAATTTCATAATGCATTCTGCATGTCAGATCACTCCGATAAAGCATAATCGTATTCTGTACTCGTGTTAAAGTATGTGTAAAATGTTATGATTCAAAAGGGAATTTGAGGGTAATATAAACCCACATGCTAGAGCCAGGGTCTCAGAGTCCTCGCCAGCTGCTCTGAGTGAGTGTTTATGTGCTATGATCCAGTAGGAGAGACAGATATGCTACAGGTGGCAAGACTATGGGTGTGTAAACAGAAACGAGGCTCTCCTATCTCTGCTTGACTGCTGGTGCTCGTACTCTTGAGGTAATGCAGTAATGAGTAATGGACAGACTGACTTGAGTTACACAGACTCATAAAATGGTTTGAGCCATAAACACAGTGAGAGATAAAGTGGAATGTCAAGTGAGAAAGAGAAGGAACAGCTTATGAAAAAAGACCATCAAGCTGGTTTTTGGAATATTTTAGCTGGTTTGTTGTTGGTTCTGGGCTGGTGGTTTATTCGTCCAAAGCAGATTGACTGAACCTGCCACTGCCAATACATCCATGACATGCTGCTGTAAGCATGTAGAAATACTGCTGCTGCACATATAACATATATGAAATAACCCCCATATATAGCATACATTAAATTACCCCATAGCAGATCTATACAGGTGGAGCTGGGGAAGTGGATGGTTTATGAAGCATGCTGCCACTGCTATAGCAAGCACTAGCTGAGTATTTGAATGTTGAACAGCAAGATCACTGACTACTGATGCGAAAAATATCAATCAGCTGCGTTGTGTGAATGATGATGTAATTATATCAGATTGAGTTAATATTGGCCTGCGCCATCTAGAGTTTCATGACAAAACTTTGTATATATGAGGGGAAATTATTTTTTAAAAAGCAGAAAATAAGACTGAGAGAGATGACAAACAAAAAGAGAGATGAGAGAAGAGAGAAGAGAGAGATGAAGGGGTGAAGAATAACACACCTGCCATCCAAGGTCTCGAAAACTAACGTACAACTCATGTTTCTTACAGGCCTGCTTCTGATCCGCACTGCTGTTCTCTAAAAACAAAGAGAGAGAGAGAATTGCTGTATAGAAACCTTTTACAGAAATGATAATCCCTTGTGATGATGTTTAAAACTCAATGAAATCAAAAGTTTGCATGATTAGATCTATGTCTGTTAGTTTTAAAGTCATCTATATGCAAGTGCAGTGATCTTCCAACAATAATAATTTTATTAAAAAACGAAAAAAGAAAAAAAAAACTATGCTAGTGTTGTCACAGTGTCTGGTTGTGGTGCCCTGGACAGGCCACTTGAGGGCGCTCTTCCTGTTTCGTTGTTACATGTTTTGAACTCATAGTTTCCCATAGTCCTTTGCTTTGTCGTTCTGTTCTGATCATGATCACCTGTTGGTAATTTACTCATCATTTCATCACTACTTATACCATGCTCTCACTGTCTGTCTTGGCTGCAGTATTGTTTGAGGTTACGTTGTGTTTTCTGTTCCCTGTGTTTTGAAGTTACCTTTTGTCTAGTTTTAGTTCTGTTCTGATTATTTGTTACTTTAATAAACTACTGCACTTGGATCTACTTTGTTTTCTCCTGGCTTTCCGTGACAGAATACTGCAACCAGTACCAGATCCAGCAGTTTGTTTGGCCTTTGCTTTTTTGGGGGACTATGGACATGCGAATTGCCCCTCCTGCCACAGAGAAGGAGCGAGTGGCTCGACACCGGGCTCTGATGACTCAGAGGCAGCATGGAAGGGAGGTTGGAGGTTTTGCCCAGACTTTTTGGACATTTTTGGTGGGGCTGAATTATAATGAGGCTGCACTTAAGGACTTCTTTAATGTCTGTTTGGATGATCCTTTGCCCCAGTGGGAAATGGAGGCACTCAGGATCCTGGATTTCTGGGGCTTCGTCAAGTATCTCCATGGTCAAAGTCAGTGGGCAATACCAGGCCAATCAGAACCGTTCCGCAGGGATTTTCCCACCACCTCTACCCTTCAGACTCCCACTAAGCGGCGGAGGGCGAGAAGGAGGACAGTAAAGCCTAGTCCAGAACCCGCTCCAGTCCGGGAGCTCACCGAGTCCGGGAGCTCACCCAGTCCGGGAGCTCACCCAGTCCGGGAGCTCACAGAGCCCGCTCCAGTCCGGGAGCTCACAGAGTCCACTCCAGAGCCCGCTCCAGTCCGGGAGCTCACAGAGTCCACTCCAGAGCCCCCTCCAGTCCGGGAGCTCACAGAGCCCACTCCAGAGCCCGCTCCAGTCCGGGAGCTCACAGAGTCCACTCCAGAGCCCGCTCCAGTCCGGGAGCTCACAGAGCTCATTAAGGAACTCATTCCAATCCGGGAGCTTATAAGGTCTACTCCAGAGCCCACTCCAGTCCGGGAGCTCACAGAGCCCACTCCAGAGCCCGCTCCACTCCAGAGTCCGCTCCAGTCCGGGAGCTTATAAGGTCTACTCCAGAGCCCACTCCAGTCCGGGAGCTCACAGAGCCCACTCCAGAGTCCGCTCCAGTCCGGGAGCTTATAAGGTCTACTCCAGAGCCCGCTCCAATCCGGGAGCTCACAGAGCCCGCTCCAGTCCGGGAGCTCACAGAGTCCGCTCCGGTCCGGGAGCTCACAGGGTCCACTCCAGAGCCTGCTCTAGTCCGGGAGTTCACAGAGCTCATTAAGGAACTCACTCCAATCCGGGAGCTTATAAGGTCTACTCCAGAAACCGCTCCAGTCCGGGATCTCACAGAGCCCACTCCAGAGCCCACTCCAGAGCCCACTCCAGAGCCCACTCCAGTCTGGGAGCTCACAGAGCCCACTCCAGAGCCCGCTCCAGTCCCGGAGCTCACAGAGCCCACTCCTGAGCCCGCTCCAGGCCGGGAGCTCACAGGGTCCACTCCTGAGCCCGCTCCAGTCCGAGAGCTCACCGGGTCCACTCCAGAGCCCGCTCCAGTCCGAGAGCTCACCGGGTCCACTCCAGAGCCCGCTCCAGTCCGGGACCTCACAGAGTCCGCTCCAGTCCGGGAGCTCACAGAGTCCACTCCTGAGCCCGCTCCAGTCCGGGAGCTCATAAGGTCCAATTCAGAGCCTGCTCCAGTTCAGGAGCTCATTAAGGAAGTCACTCCAGTCCGGGAGCTCACAGGAACTGTTGCAGAGTAATCTGCCTGTCCTGTTGCAACCGTCGAGGCTGGTACTAAACTCTGTCTGCTCTTGTTTCCAGTTTTCCCTAAGTCACTGAGAGGATTTTCTGTCCCACCAGTGTTGCCTGGTAGGATTCCGGCTCTGCTCTGGTTGCCCGCCTGGGTTCCTGTTTGGCAGGAGCCTCAGTGGCTCATTCCTCCTGGCTATCTGCTGGGGTTCCTGTGTGGTTGGGGCCTTGCTGGTTCATCCTGCCGGCCCCGCCTTGGCCTTTCACCCTGCCGGTTCTGTGCTCATGCCCTGGTCTTTCTCTGTCCCCTGGCCCCCTTCCATTGTATAGTCCTGAACCCCCCCCCCCCCCTCCCCCCCCCATCCTT